ATCTGTGTCTGACGACTCGACTGTCCCGGGGGATACGAACCCTCCCAAGGACCGGTACAGACCGGCAGGCTGCTCGGTGTGGCACAGTAGGCCGGAAAGGCTGAGTTGTGGGCTGAAAGCACAGGCAGAACCAAGCTGATCACGTCGTCCTGTCTGCGACGTTAAAGAATTCTTGAAGAGTTACGGGGGATCTCCTTAAATGCCTCCTGATCAGCCACTGGTTCAGTAGTGACAGCCATGGCATAGGTCTAGGCTAGAGACCATAGTTGACAGGGTCCTTGTCAGGATTCTGTAAGTCTGAGATCGAGTCTATAGGTTTGTTAGTCAGGGGTCAGAGTCTATGTGGTGAGGTTTGGAACCACTAACCCGGTTGTACACTTATCACCATGGTTGAGACCCGTAGTGGGACGGAGACTAGTCCCTACACCCCTGAGCAGCAAGCAAAGATGACCGCCTTAGTGAAAGAGAACAAGGAGAGAAAAGAGCGTCAGAAGCAGGCGAAGCTAAAGGCTATCGCAGGTGAGTAGGCGGCGAAGATGAAGAGGTTGGAGGAGGAGATGAAGAGAGTGCAACAAAAGGAGGAAGAAAGAAGAAAAGTTGTTGAAGCAGAAGCGGCCGCAGAAGAAGAGAAAGAGAGAATGAGAATTGAGAGTGGAGAAGGGAGCAGTGGTGGCACGATGAAGTGGGAGACAGATACTGAGCTGGAGAAGAAGATCAGCGAGTGGGTCGCTAATTTATCGTTGGGGGAAGACGAGGAGGCTGAGTCATATGTGACTAAGGATGAGAAGGCTGCGCTGGCCGCTGAGCTAGCAGCCATGACAGACCCAATGGAACGAAGAGAGAGGGAAGACGAGCAAAAGTTAGCATGGAAGTTGAGAATGAAGAGGGAGAAGAAGAGGAGGAGAGAGGAAGTGAATAAGATGACCACAGCAGTGGCAAAGGTGCAGGAGTGTAGAGCGGAGGTGCTGGCCCAGCCAGATGATAAGGCCAAGTGGGACAAAGTACTGGGTTATCTAGAGGTGTTGAGCAAGGCCTGGATGGAAGAGCGCCAGGCAAGCTGGAGCCAAGATGTAGCCTTGAGTGCCATGCGGTCAGGGTCTAGAGACTTTGCGCGCGATATCGTCACCCATATTGGGGGCGAAGTGAAGCAATTGAGAGATAATGTAGGGAAGTTTTGTGAGGGCGCCATTCAGGGTGCCAAAGCTGCAGCCGCTGTAGAAGGAGAGGGCAGACCCCGTAAGGACCCAGTGAAACTTAAGTTCCCAGACGCGTACGGGGGAAAGAAGGACGAGAAGTTTGACAACTGGGAGGCCAGTGTCAATAGTTACATTTATTTACAACATATCCTGATAGAGGAGCAAGTCCTCGTGGCCTTCCAGGCCCTGAAGGACGAAGCGGCTAGCTTCGCCAGGTCTCTCGTGCGTACAGCCGGTTGTGAGAACAACCTGGTTGCATATTCCAAAGTCACCCCTCTTTCCCAATTCCTCAAGCTCCTCAAGGAGCGGTTCGCTGACCCAACGCAAGGCATTCGAGCCTCTGATAAGCTCCAAACGATCCACTCCCGACAATGGAGGAGTGCCAAGGCACTCAAGGGTACCATGGACGACTTGGTAGCCGTCCCGGACCACGGGGTCACTGAGCCCAGTTGGTCCAGTTGTTTTGTCGTGCCATTCCAGAGGCCCTACGCGGGCATTTCTTTGACAAATCTCAGCAGGCCGGAATGACTTACGATGCATTGAGTAGAGAAGTCGTCATGTATGAGTCGAAGTCTATGCCAGTTACCACTTTCTGGCATAAGGACCTGGAGAAGGGGAAGAAGTGGAAAGATCGTACCATCTCAGGCCAAGTCAAGGCCAAAGATCACTTGATCCTGACATTAGAAGAGGGTGGTACAGAAGAGGTCCCATATGATCAGATTGAGTGGGGCCTAGGGGAGGAGTACAGTAGTGTAGGGCAGGGGAGGTCTTACGCTGCTGTCGCGGTCGGAGGGA